TAACTTTTTTTAAAAAAACTAGTCTGATACTAAGAACAACCAATTTGCTAAAGATAAATTTAAAGGTTACAAAAGAATGTTGGTGCAAATTCTCATATGTCTCCCTTCTGCCAGTATTGCTGTAGCAGATCAAGTTCAATTGATGGTTGAAGTTAATGACGTTGACAATTTTAATGCATTGTTTCAATACTCCCTATTGTAGTGAATCAGATGGCAAAAGCTTTGAATGAATTTGCCGTTCTAGCTTTTGCAGCCACTCGGGACTTCAAGCACTATAGCAATGTGCAGAGTCAAAACAGAACATTTAGGCTGTATAGTCCAGCCCCCTGCTAAATGCAACTTCTGTATCACTTCTTCTGATCCCTTTCTGTTGGTGCTCACATGGCTGGTGCCCTTCTCTCCTGTTCCTTTGCTTCCCTCAATCTCTTGACTATTTTTCTCTTCCCTAAGTAAGTACTTTAGTAGCAATGTACGGCACTAAAGCAGTTACAGAGACATACAGTACTTGTGAGTGTATGGAGAGAGTAAATCTTAAAATTTAATTTTTTTTTAAAGGGGCATGGGGAAAGCCAGTGTAACCCCTGGGCCAAAGGAAGCTAGCATGTGTCTTCCAAAGAGTTCAGAGAAGAGTAGCAAAGATGATTAGGGGGTTGGAGGTTAAAACATATGAAGAACAATTGCAAGAATTGGGTATGTCTAGGTTAGTGAAAAGAAGGGCTAGGGCCGACATGATAACATGTTCCAATATTTGAGGGGCTGCCACAAAGAAGAGAGGGTCAAATTATTTTCCAAAGCACCAGAAACCAAGACAAGAAGCAATGGATGGAAACTAATCAAGGAGAGAAGCAACCTAGAACTAAGGAGACATTTTTTGACAGTGAGAACAATAAACCAATAGAACAGCGTACCTTCAGAAGTTGTGGGTGCTTCATCACTGGAAGCTTTTAAAAAGAGAGTGGACAGCTACTTCTCTGAAATGATATAGGTCTCCTGCTTGAGCAGGGGGTTGGACTAGAACAGTAGTGGGCTATGGCCTACTGCCAGGCTGTGGCTGTTCAGAACCGGGCCGTGTGAATGGCTGGACAGCTCCGACACGTGACTTGTGTAAATGACAGGCTGGCATGCATGCACCCAGCTCAACTTGCGGGAGTGGCAGGGTAGTGCACATGCATGCAGCTTAACTTGCGCAAGTGGCAGGCCAGCAGGCACACACCTCAATTTGCACAAGTGGTGGGCTGGCATGTGGATGCACATATGCATACGTGCGCCAGCCCATCGGTTGCACAGGCTGGTTCTCCTCTCCCCCCCGCCAGGCTGCCAAGCCATAAAGGTTGGTGACTCTGGACTAGAAGACCTCCCCCAAGGCCCATTCCTACTTTGTTAATCTATTACTCTGTTAATGCCAGAAGTCTTTCTCAAATTTATAACAATATTACTTACATGGTTTTTGTTTTGATTTGTTTTGGAAGAAAAAGAGATTAAAATGAGATTGGGGATTTGATTCCTTAATAGCTATGTGATGTTAATCAGAAAAATAGTTTATCTTCTAGTATGTATAGAATATATACAGTAGAATACATACATCTATGCAGTATAGAATAAATTTCAGTAAAGTGTCCAATGCACTTTGTCTGACCGATTCTCTCTTGTATTTTCTGAGAATGTAAATTCGTGTGATTAACTACACCAGTTCACCTGTGGCCTGTCATGATTAACTTGATCTAGCCCAAGGGAACTGGCTGGTGTGGATTAGACACCTTCTCTATTGAACAAAGAGAGTTTTTATCCCAATCCCCTAAGATTTTGTGGGTGTATTGGCCAAGCTCAATGTTGTATGTTGTCCAATATCCCTTAGGAAATTTAGGAGGACTTCTTTTACACTCCTGTTCTTTGAACCAGGAAGGTCTGAGTATAATACTGCCATATTTAGTGGCAGTGCTGTAAAGCTAAATAGTTCTGGAAAACAATTTGCCGAATAAGAGAATGAAACAATTTATGGAAGTTGAATTTCCTTTCCAACCTGTCATCTTTCTATTAAATATCAGTAAACCTTCAAAATACTGACTTAGCTTAGTCAATGGTAACTGCTGCAAGATTATTTTGTGCTTTTTATTGGAAAACATATACATTCTCTTGGTAGAAGAATAGCAAATGAAGTTGTGGGAGTGTATATTGATATGTAAAATAATGTATTTGAAAAGCAAAACAATTTGGGGCCCAGCATTGTTTGAATTTAGAATAGAATTTATTCTATACTTCTAGTCATATGGCTAGCATGACTATACACCGGTGCATGGAATACTGTTACCTTCCCACCAATGTAGTATCTATTTATCTACTCCCATTTGCTTGCTTTCAAACTGAAAAAAAATTAAATACAGCAGCTGAGAAAATATTATGTAATGTAGGAAATGGGACTGTCTCCCAGGAACGTAATCCAGGTTTTCAGGGACCTACAAAAGGCCAACTGGGATGGGTTCATTCTACTCTCTGGAGCAGAGGTCCCCAACCTTTTGGGCATCAAGGATCGGTTACGTGAAGAGAGGTTTTTCCGCGGCCCAGAGGGGGTGTGGTTTTGTGTGCTGCCTGCATCCCGCAGGTGGGACTTTGCTTGTTTGTGCAGTCCGGTTGCTGGCATGCTGCGGTCTGGTACCGGTCCACGGCCTGGTGGTTGGGGATCCCTGCTCTAGATGGAGAATTTCCAGAGGGGAAGCACTATGGCAGAAAAGGCAGCCTCATGGTCCCTGCCAGCCAACATTCCTTGGCTAGTGGGACCAAAAGCATGCCCATCCCGCTGGATCAGGTAGAAACATTGGGGAAGACAGACCTCAGGAACCCAGACCAAGCCATGAAGAGCTTTAAAAGTGATAATCAGCACTTGAATTGTATCCAGCATCAGCTGGCAACCAATAAAGCTCACAAAGCAGTGGCATTACATGTATTGAATAACCTACACCATTTACTACTTGGTGCAGCTACATTCTGCACCAGTTGAAGTTCTAAAGCTTCTAATCCCAGTAATCTAGATGGGAGGTCACAAGGGCATGAGTGACAGTGAGAAGAGCCTCCTGGTCCAGGAGCGGGTACAACCTGAAGGTATGAAAAAGCTATTTCAGCCACGACTACCATCTGCTCTTCCAATAGGAGCCGCGAGTCCAAGAGGACCCCCCCCCCGATTGCAACACATCTGAGGCAGTGCCACACCATTCAGAATCAAAGGTGGAAAAATCTTGACACCAGAAAGCCCAAGCACCCAAAGCCACACAATCTTGCTTGGATTGAACCAAAGCCCATTGCACCCATCCATATCTTTGCAGCTTCCAGGCACTGGAAAGGACATCTGTGGCATCACTCAGGCAGTCTTGAGTAGAGATGTGGAGCTGGATATCATCAACATACATACATATGTGTATAATTTGCCTTCTTCGAAATATAGAATTAGTCTTATTGCCATCACAATAAATAAATAATGAAGAACTTTGAGAAAAGTCCAGGGGAGTAGCATTTCAAGGAGAGTTGGGAAAATATACATTAAAAATAATTTGGCTCATAAAACTGATTAAGAAAAAGCTATATTTGTTCCAAGAATCTGACAAACTATTATGTTCTTTTTCTTTTTAATCTCTAATAGCTTTTAATAACAATAATATTTTGAAGTTGAGGAATCAGAAATTAGAAAGGAAAACAGTGATTAATAGGTTCCCTCCTAAATATCAGCCTTTTGCTTTCCAAGTTTGCCCTTCTTTCTTAAATGGGTAGGAATATCAAAATGTCTTTACAGATATAACCCAGCACAAAATATTCTGGACAGACTATAATTATTTTAATTGCTTAATTTAATGTATGATATTTAGAAGGAACATTGCATTGGTGATGTAGAATAAGTCTACAGTCATGCTACAATAATTCCTGAAAAGAGTGCAGTTGTGGCTGTTACGTTTTTAGTTTCTATTATTGTTGTTATTATTGCCCTGTAGGGTACTTCAATCAATGAATATAGTGGGAAGGTTACTGATTCTGATATCATGATGTGACTGCTATTCTTTGGTGGCGTGTAATGGGTACTAAACCATCCAATTTAGATCAGAGATGAAGTAGCAATGGAGCATATGATGACTGGGATTGCTTAGTTAGTGGCCCACATTCTTATCTTTGTCTCTGTCATGCTTATGCTCTGCCATGGGGAGACTTTCCTTTTAAGTCTTTGCCATTACTGTTTGGCAGAATAGATTGTCATTCTGAAAGACTTAATGACCTTCTTATTCCCCATTTTTTCTCTGTGGAGATGTGTTGTTTTGTATTCCCATTTGGCTGCAGAGAAGCCAGTGCACAGTACATTCTCAGATTGATCAGGCAGGCACATGAACAGTAACAACAACAACAACAACAACAAAAAATCTGCAGTGACTGTGGCTGAACTGAAAGGAAAAAAAGTCCTCCTCCTCTCCTCTTCCCTTTTTGTAGCCAAATGCTCTTATTCATATCAGCACAGGCTGTGGAATCAACAGCATGGCTGCCAACAGCAGCAGAGGTAAGAGAGGAATGTAGCATATGAGTTAGTGAAAGCAGCATTAGAACAAGAATTGAAGCGTCTTATGAGAAAGCCTTGCGAGCGTTTGTATAGTCTGTTTCTCACGTAGATGCACATTTGTTTCTCTTATGCAAAGGGACAGGTGGGGAGATGGTGGAAGGAGAATGGAGGATCTGCTGCTGAATGGGAACCAAAGCTGCCTGTGATGCCAAAGAAAAAATGCTCAGTCTGCAAAAGCATCTGTTGTTCTCTGCTTTTTTGACAATAATAGGTAGATGTGGGGAGCAGTGGATAAACAAGGAATCAGCTCTTCATCACTGGCTTCCTGTAATCACAAAGGTTTGAAACTGAAGGCTCTAGCAAATCTAGCTACCAGGGCTTCAGCTGTGATTTCCTAAGAGCATGCAGAACTGAAGAGGGGTGGTGGCTTCATCAAACTGACTTTGTTTCTTTCTGTTTCTATTCACAGCTGTCGCTCCAAAACTCAAGAAACTAAAGAGCCTAAATGTAGAAGTTGGAGCAAAGGTTTTTTTAAAATGCGAGGCAAGCGCTGGAAATCCTCAGCCATCCTACAAATGGTTCAAAGATGGCAAAGAAATTAAAAAGAGCAAAGATATCAGAATAAAATATGGGAATGGAAAGTAAGTAAAAGCAGTCGGGTTTTTTATCCTAAAATTGTAAACAAATGTATCATTATAGATAAACATTCTTAACTATTATTCGTATAATTTTCATAAACAGGACTGAATGGTTAATTTCTAAGTAAAGTGGTGTTTATAATCCTAATTCTAAATAGCTTTGCTTCTTGTTTGTGAGCAAGATATGTTCATAATATTCTCAGAGGACATTATTAATTTCAATATTTCAAGGTGCAGGTTGGACTCAAAGGAAAGTGACATTTATCTAAGCCAGATTTTAACTGGAGGGCTCCAGGTGGGGGAAGACTGTTCTTAGGTAAAACTTGTGTTATAAAATGGCAAATCCAACAATTTCATTTTGTGAGCTGTCTTGACCAGAATTCTAGAGAATTCTGGGAGTTGATTTCCACACAGCTTAAAGTTGCTGAGGTTGGAAAGCACTGTTATAAAGCAAGAAAGCTCAATTATTTTGCTGTAATATTTTGTTTAATCGTACATGGTTAAAAGACAGACATGCAGACAGCCAATTATTTTTTAGCATTAGGAGTGATGGCATGTTCCTCCTCAGTTTGTCCTCTGGATAGATCATGTGTTCTACTTTGGGTGTGATGAAGACAGAGCCAGATGGTCTAAACTGGTTATCCATCTGGGTTTTGCACAGGCCTAGAAATCACTTAGATGATTAGGTGAAGCAAGTAGTGTCTCTTAGAAACGGGCCATTTTGCTTTCTGTTTTTGCTTTGAAGGGGTACTTTCTTGCAGATCCATTGAAGTGAGGTGTCCTCTGGCTTTTTAATGATATTTAACTATTACTATTTCTTGATACACAATGCCACAGAATTAAATTCATCCTAAAGTTCTGATTGATACCAATGTGGACCATGAACATTAAATTCTCTGTAATGTTGAACACCTGGCTTCTCAGATCAAACGAGGCCATTGCCTGTTGGTAAAAAGTTATCAAGAAACAAGGCCAGCAGGCTTCCCAGCACCATATGAGGCAGAATAGAGTAGACAGTTTCATGAAAATTCATACATGGTGTAGGGCCTGGCTTCATCCAATCAATATTTTGATTATAGCTCAAATAAGTTCATTGGCTAAATTTGGTGGTAGAGAATTGCACTGAATATGGTTCAAGATACTAGCTTTAATGTGGCTCAAAGTGAATTTGTGCTCATAATGGAAAAACCTCAAATTATTTTAGATTTTTTTTAAAAATCAGCAGAATAGGATGAAACCTGCAGACATAGATAACAGACATCTCAGAACGAATTAAAACATCCAGTTTCAGAAAATATGTGGATAATTAACCTTTCTGGACTTTTCTTTTCTTTTTTCTTTTTAAAAAAGAAAACTATAATTGTATGATTTATTTCTGTATATAGATAAAAATTATATACATAGTTATCTTTTAGATAGATCTGAAACCGACAGTTTTTTTTAAAGAAATATGAATACGATTTTTGACGGTTTTGGACAGAATTAAAGGGCTTTTTCTACAGAGCACTATTTAAGCATATGTTCTGATCTGGATCTGGATCATAACATCTCCCAGTGATTTCCTACAGTGATTTTGAATTAATAGCAAGAGTAATAAGACTTATATACCACTTCACAGTGCTTTACAAATCTCTCTAAGCAGTTTACAGAGTCAGAATATTGCCCCCAACAATCTGGGTCCTCACTTTACCAACCTTTTATATTATTACTATTACTATTATTATTTGTTGCTGTTATTGTTATTATTGTTATTATTATTTTTTAACGGACTAGTATCTTGAGATTTTCAAACTTCATGAGTTGGCAGTGTTATAATCTTAAACCTTGGAAGAAAAAACTGTAACTGAGGAAGGGTTCATGGGGAGATATGTATACTGATTTGAGTTTTCTGGACCAAAACTAAAATGCAAATGAAGTAGATATCCACTATCCTTTGTGTTCAGCATTGGGATTTTTATTTCTTCATTTAAATATTTGGTTATGGGCAAAAAAGATTTCTCTAATTATTTTTTATCAATATTATTAAAGTGAAAGCTAGTAAAATCTAGGAACACGTGAAACTTTAAGTTTCTAGCTCTTCAGTGATTGTTAAACTCTTCTACACAAATTTAAAAATTTCCATACTGAAATGCTATTTAACTTATTTTAATTTCCAAGGGGAAAAGATTGATACATTTATAAACAACTGGGGAAATATTAATATTGTATCCTTACAATTGATGGTTTTCTCTCATAGACTTGCTAATCAAACTTCAAATATTATATTTCTTCTGCCTTCCTCTTTCCCCCTGCTCCAAATCAGCATAAGTAATTGATTGCTCCCAACGCCCTTCTCATTATCTCTGGACTGGAAAGTTGAGTTCATATTGCCCTTCAGATAACAGGTTTTGAATAAACAGAGTGAATATAAGAGTGACCTGGCAAAGCAAGGCAATGGAGAAACCACATTGCAGTGTGTTGAACACCATCAAAGCTGTGTAATTAAAAAAGAAACCAAAGATAGTTCTGGAATAAGTACTCCTACTTCAGGAAGTGGATTGGAATAGAAGACCGCTAAGGTTTCTTCCAGCTGTATGATTCTGTGATAGTCTCTTGTTTTTCTATCTTATATTACCTATTTAATTTTGTGTCCCTCCACTGCTTCTGAATTTTTCATCTTTCTCATCATAAACAAATGTTTATTTTTATGAGCAATTTATGCAATGATTGGATAATTTGCATATTTTCCCCATTTCCTTCCTTCACGATAGATATATAGACCACAACTTTTTCCAATCTTTAAATCACATAGTTTTCTTCCATATTTGTTGAAACAGGACTTTAACCACCTCTTCTCTTTCAGTTTAAAATCTTTCGGGGTTCAATGAATATTTCCTCTGGTTCATTCTTAGATAGCTGTTCTTGTTGATAATACCTAATTTTTCTAATGGATTTGGTCAATATCGCTTCTTTACAAATATTTCTGATTTCTATAATCCCATTTTAAAGGATTTCAATATATTTCCATATTTATTCATTTCTCTTCATTGTCAATGATTACTTTTGATTATTGCTGCCTTAAGTTCTTAGTTGCCATAATTTCTTCAATCCTTATTTTTAAAAATCATTTTTCTTTTCTTTTAATTTTTAAAGCTAATATTATGAAAAATTAAACTAGGATAAAAAGTAATAGAAACTGAAAGAAAAGAAAAGAAAAGAAAAGAAAAGAAGGGGCAGAAAAGAAAAATGAAATAGAGAAAGAATAGAAAAGAAAGAAAAACAATAAGAAAATATTAAGAGGAATAAAACTATGCAGGTAGTCTTTTACTTACAACAGTTCATTTAGTGACCATTCAAAATTCCAGATGCACTGAGAAAAGTGACTTATGACCATTTTTCACACTTACGACCACTGAAACATCCTCATGGTCATGTGATCAATATCCAGATATCGGGCAACTGGCTTGTGTTTATGACAGTTGCAGTGTCCCGGGGTCATGTGATCACCTTTTATAACCTTCTCACAAGCAAAGTCAATGGGGAAATCACATTCACTTAACAACCATGTTACTAACTTAACTGCAGTGATTCACTTAACAACTGTGGCAAGAAAGGTCATAAAATGGAGTAAAACTCATTTAAATGTTTCACTTCGCAACAGAAATTTTAGGCTCAATTGTGGTCATAAGTCAAGGACTACCTGTATAAAGAAATTTCTTCCTCCTTCCTTCATCACATCAAGTATAAAACATTTAATAACTTACCACCTTCTCCTAACACCACAACAAATGATCTGTTCTTCACATATCTCATCCCTTATTTATAAACATATCCTTAAAACCTTGTGATTTCAATCCTGAACAGCAAAAGTCCATTAAGGGTTTTCATAGTTAACAATATATCTATTTTATACACTTTATATTCCTTTACATTTAACATTCTTGATCTTTAGTCCTTTCAAATAATGCCCCCAAATTGATTTCTTTGGTTTTTTATTTTTTCCCCCTTTGTTCCTTCTTGCAAAATTCTTCAAAACTATAACAAGCCTCTTTTGTAAATTCAGTATAGGTTATAAAATAGACCATTCTCCTATTTTGTTATTTGTGTATCCCTTTTAATCAGCCAGTTTCTTTTTTATGTCCAGTGTAACATTGTTTTCCATATCATTCTTATAGCTTATCATTTTTGACCCACTTTCAGATCAGTCTCAATTTTGTCTGATAAATTTTCTCTTCCATGATATCTTTTAAACAGTCTATCTATAGAGACAGACACTCTTACAATTAATTTCTGGATCTATTGTTCAAAAATACCCTTCAATAGGACACATCCATTGTTATTTTCTTGTATTTTCTTGACATTCTGGATTAGAGGGATCTGTCCTTGTCCCTCTACCCCAGAGGTCTTCAAACTCGGCCCTTTTATGACTCATGGACTTCAACTCCCAGAATTCCTCAGCCAGCGTGCCTGGCTGAGGAATTCTGGGAGTTGAAGTCCATGAGTCATAAAAGGGCCGAATCTGAAGACCCCTGCTCTACACTTTATACTGAACATTTGTATTTAGTTGTATGTTCTTCTTTGAGATTTGTTTGAGGAACTGTCTATCTTCCATGGTGTCTGCTGAGCCAATAAGAATTGGCAGGATTGGCACACTTCACATCTCTTCAGTTAAACAGTGTTATCTTTAGGGACCCAAGAGGTACATCTGTCAGCACCTGTCCATTGGAATGAAGTTCTTCCTAAGTTCTGGGTGGCTCCAATCCTGATAATATTTTGGAAGGCCTTGAAGATCTGCCTCTTCTCCTATGCCTTAGACTAAAGTGGCTGTGAATTCTGTATTCACCGTTTTGTTTTTTTTAATCCCCTATTTTGTATTTGCTTTTGAATTGTACTATATTTTATTTTCTTTGTTATATTGAGAACCACCCAGAGTCATTTGGAGTAGGGCGGCATTTAAATTAAATTAAATTCTTATTTCTCAATTCTCCATCTTTCCATAGCTATCATGATTTCTTGTTTTGAAA